AACCCATACTTTACTTGTAGTGTGTCCTGCGTTTACCCACGTTTCATCAAGGTAATAAATCTTCCTGTTTTGATTTCTATATTTCCCAATTTTTGTTAAATAATCCCTCCTCCATAGCACAATTTCTTCTCTATCCAGTAATAAACTATTACGACCCTGTTTTTTCCATTTGAAATTTAAATGCTTCAGTAACGCATGGAAAGTTGATCGTTTGAAATTTGGCAACGTTGTATCTCCATTTACCTCCTGCAGTACTTTATCTATAGTAGGTATTTCATTCCTAAAGAAGAATTCATGCACTTTCCTCCTAATCGCATGCTTATCAGCTTCATCCAATGATTTAACAATACTTTTGCGATGTTTACTGGTCATTGGATCATAAAAGGTGTGATTTTTTTTGTATTGTCTTAACACATTAAACACTGATGCGCGACACATCCCAACTTTGTGAAGAACCTTCACAACAATTTCTTTGATGGTTGATGCCTCATTCTCCTCGCGCTCGATCTTATATATATTCAAAATGACCTCTTTCATTTCTGCACTCAGGTGTCTTTTTTTAGAGCGTTTCCTAGGTGGACTACAGGGGTTTACAACTTCATCGGCAGTATCTGTACTACTGGGCATTTTGAGCAAGCAGTTGATAACAATAACAATCAATAACAAGGTATAACAATAACAACGACAAACTCAACAACTTAATAAGATAACAAACGAAAACGTCCAAAGAAATATCAAATTGCAATGATGCACACGACATACGTAACACGTCTGAACCTGAATGTGACTCTGCCTTGATACGACTGCTCTGCCGCTCGGCATAGGCATTTAATTGCGAATTGACCAATGAGGGCTCCTGTTTTACGTCGAGGCGGCGGCGTTAGCGTGAAAATCACCCGAACCTTTTGTTTACATCCGATCTATCTCTTATCTGAATATACTGTAGCTGCTATTGGAATTTTGGTGAGAATATGGAAAAATATATGACAACATAATGGGAGATATAAAAACTTGTTTAGATCTTGCAACTGATAAAAAAGTGATTTGCTTGACAAAAAATACACTCTGGTATAACAAAAATATTAAGGTAGCCCAAAATTTTATAGACAAACAATACAAAAAATGTATATTGACAAAATCAAATGATGATTGCGAGGTATATAAAACTGTTAGTAATAAATGTTTGTATGTAATTAGAGAAAGAAAAAAGTAAATTCTACGATAAACAAATCGATAATAGCAATAGCGACAGTGTAAAGATGTGGAAAACTTTAGAAAGACTTATCAATTTGAAGCCGCAGGATTGTGTAAATCAAGTTCAATTCTTGGGTGATTGCAAATAAACTAAATGAGTATTTTGTGGAAAGTATTGTTGATATTGTGGGTACTGTTAATGCTGCACCTGACTATATGAAAATCAGTTTCCAGGGGGAAATGTTGCATACACTTTAAAAATTTCATAGCGTATCATTGAATTATCTGAGAAAACAAGTAAACAGTTTAAAATCGAACAACTGCTGTGCCGAAATCACTACTATAAACGTGCTGAAAAACTGTTTCGAAGTTTTGGGATATCCTGTATTAAATTGGATCAATTGTTCACTGAGAAGTAGTTCTTTTTTTCTGAAAATTTGATATGCTCTACAATAACAGCAGTTCCCAATATAAAAAAATCTAAAAGATTCAGCGATATGAGACCAGTGATTGTGTTACCAGACATTGAAAAATTATTAGAGTCCATAGTGCATGACCAATTAATGCAGTTTATAGAAGAAAACAAAATTTTAGTGGAGGCGCAAGCAGGCTTTCGAAAAAAATATTCCACAGAAACAGCTTTTCAGTTGGTAACTGAGAATTGGAGAAGAGCCATAGACTCAGAAGAAGTTGTCATAGCAGTATTTTTGGATTTGAAGAGGGCATTTGAAACGATTGATAGAGATATTTTGTTAGGTAAATTGAAGGCATATGGTATAACAGGAAGTGTTTTAGATTGGTTTTGAAATTATTTGTCTAAAAGGATGCAAGTTACAAAAGTTAATGACACTATTTCATCAAAAATTGAAAATACGTTGGGTGTTCCACAGGGCAGTATCCTGGGACCACTTCTTTTTATTTTATACATAAATGATTTACCTGCCATAGTCAAAAAATGCAAAATTCAAATTTTCGCCGATGACACTATGATTTATATAAATACTAAAAATATTCAGTCTGGTATCTCTTATATAAATGAAGACTTGAAGCTTGTCTCAAAATGGTTAGCATCTAACAGACTAAAATTAAATGCAAGTAAAACGAAAGCCTTGTTAATCGGAAAAAAAACAATGTACAAATGTTCAACTGAATATTGATAGTGAAGATATTGAATTCGTAGAAAAATTTAAATACCTGGGAGTTTTTGTTGACTCTCGATTAATTTTTGATATTCATTATGAAAAAGCTATAAATAAGATTAGTAGTAAAGTCGGATATTTATCAAGAGTTTCTGGATGTCTGAGCTCATATAGCAGAAAAATTATCTATAATACCATCATTCTTCTAAATTTCTTGTACTGTTCGACTATTCTATATTTAGCAACTAATTCCATTTTTGAAAGACTGCAAATTTTGCAAAATAAGTGCATGAGAATAATACTGAATAAAGATAAATATACTCCAATTAGACAAATGCTTAGCAAATTAAAATGGCTCAATGTAAAAAGTTTTATCAAATATATTGTAATGATATTCATTTACAAAGTAAGAAATAATATATTTCCATCAAGTCTAACTAATTTAACATCATCAAATACCGACCATCATTTACATAATACCAGAAATAGAGATGACTTCCATTTAATGACCAAAAAGTATAACATATGCTACGAATCTGTATTCCATCATGGGTTGATTGAATATAACAAATAATACACAGAGATAAAAGACCAGAAAACTTTGACAAAATTTAAAGTAAAATTGTTAAATCTACAATTATAGCTTGCCCAGCATTTACTTCATACATCATATGGCTTGAATTTATTGTTGTTTACAATTATTCTGTTTATGTAGCCAAATGTGCTAAATAAATCTTTCTACTACTACTACTACTACTAGTCATTTAAAGCCAAATAAGCTGGTTTAAACGCTCTCCCCAGAGCCGTCACAACTCATCGCTTGTTATCTTATTCTATGTTTGGTTAATTTGCTGTCAAGTTCTGAAAGGTTCTATTACTCTTTTGTCGTTTTTCCCGTGGTCTTGGCAGCGAAATTCTTGTGCTGGTGGCAGCTCGTCCGCTGTCAATCGGTGTTGACATCTATGCTGAAAAAGGGGCATAGCCCATTGTGGTTAGATAGTACAGTAATGGACTCCAGTCAACCAGTACTCTTTGGAACAGATCAAACTGATAGGTTGACAATCAATAACAGCGACAAAGGATTGGCTGCCCACTTGCCGATATCGTGACGTCATGCCAATAGCGCTGCGTTTAGATGATTTAAAATTGAAGCGTATTTTTTCATTTGTTTTTATTAATTAATACTCGCAATTTTATAGCGCACAACTATAACATAAGCAAGAAGGTGGATTTCTGTAGGAATGTATATAAAGTGTAAATAAAAATAAATAACCGATATTTGAATGATATTAGTAGAAGAATACACTGTACGTCTAGATCAAAAGACACAACTAGAGTTAACTTCAGTTATGCTTGATGGTCCCAGCAAAATTAAACGCACAAAAAACTCTCTTGTTCGAAAGCTTGAGGTTTTTTAGCAAGAGATGATCTCGGCAAACGGGTCCACATATGTAATATTGTTTAGTTTTAACTTTGCGTTGTTTTTAAGAATGATTGATTGTATCCTTCAGGCACAAAAGCACATTTGTCTATTTTCTATCTATCGTTTGAGATGAAAAGGTTTTGAAAATCTTTGTATTTATATGCGCTGCAATACAAAGCTCCGCTTCCGTTTCTGATGAAGTGAGAAGGTACATTTTCTTTGCAGCAAAATGCCAGTCCTGCGAAGTACGACACAACGCCTGCTTATCATGCTCTGACCAACCAGAGGTTCCACAACATTTACGAAGTACCTTTCAACAGTTTTACCCATCCTAGAGCACGAGGCTTCTTGGATCCTATGTTCGTCAACTATAATAACCCTGGTAAGGCTTAGGACATCTTAAATCTCTTGTCCTGGTACTGCTATGTATGTTGATTATATTATAAGTTATATGAAGGAACCGGTACATTGTTTCTGAACTTTTACTATCATTAGCTTGGCTATGATGGAACCCCTGATTCAATATCCTATGCACCCGTTACACATATTACAATAGTTCCAAACAATGTTTTTTCACACTATATTGTAAAACGACTACGGTCTATATTGCATTTACATATTTTGAGAAAAGCAGAAAAAGGAGAAGAAGAAGAATAATTTAATAGGCTATATTCAATAAATCATCAGCAGATGACATGGAATGTGTCAAATAAATTATACATAAAAGTTAATTCCATTAGAACATTGTCAGTTAAAAAAAGAAACATAAAGATTGAAAACATAAAAAAACATGTGATACAATAGACATAATCATAATATTAGACCACTACAATAAGAAAAATATATAATATTGAAAAGCACAGCACGAAGTTTGTTTCAACCACTGCTTTTATTGTGAGCGCAGTAGAGCAAGACTTTTATTTTAATATATTGTTTTGTGTTTCATTATAGATTTTAAGCAGACAGCGTTACGATGATGCGCTCATATAAAAATAAAAAGGGTTATACGAAAATGTCATTGATGCAATCATCTTGAAATTTGAGTGATCGGGGCCAAAAGCCTCGTCTATAGACTCTAATCTTTTTTGAGTACTCTGGATTGATTGAAATTGTAACAACATTCACCATTTTTTCGAATACTACTCTTGCCACGATTTACATTAAACCGCATTCACCATATGCTAGAAATTTGACGTATTGGGTCTACCCAAACTGATAGCGGTGGAAGTTGACATATTTGACCCATTTTCTTAGTTTTCAGAGCTTAGTAAAGGAATAGAACAGTTCCTCGGAGAATAAGTTGATCTATCCTCTAACGATTTTTACATAGAAAGAGAAATTTAGCATCCATATGGTTTCTTTTGTAGCGCCGAACATATATTCTCCCGAAACGGAGTTCAGCTGCTCTTGTCATGCACTAACGATACCTAAATCAGACCGATTCCAATGTGGCGACGATGGTGTACCAGGACCAGGCACCTATTGGGTAAGCATTTGAATGAACTTCTTGAACCTTTCGCCAATTTAGTTTGAATCTTCGACGACTACTGAATGCTGTATCCCACTAAAGATCTAACTATTCTCTGTACATTGTTAACATCACTAGAACGGTAGAAAGAAGTATTCACGGTAAATAAAAATGTTGGAGGGAGTAATTTGTTTATTTGTTTGTTGAAGATTTATTTAGCATTAATGCTATAATGTCAATTTTGTATAATTATCCGTTTCCACATTTTTTGAATAAATTTCCTGTTATTTTACATTCTTGTCTTTAAAAATTACGTAACTATGCATTTTAAGTATCCGTAAAGTGACTTTTTAATTTCACCTTAAACATTTTTAAATTCGACGACTGTTAATTACCATTATCCAATTTATTAAATTGAAATACATCCTCTTGAAATACAGATTTGTTAGTTATGCTACTATTAAAATTTTGCGTATGAAAATCTATACTTCCTCTAGTTTTGTAATTATAATAATGACTACATATGAAAACTAAATAACATATACTTACATTTTTTACACTCATCCACTGTAGTTCTTTTAACATAGACTTATACCTGTATGTTAGCATATTTGTTTTTATTTAAAGTGATTCTCACAGATTTTGTAATATTTGTAATTTTGAAAATGAAACTATGGGAGATGAAATAAATTTTTTTGAAATGATTCTAAAACAGTAGCTTACTATCTAAATATATACCCAAATGTTCGAATGATTCGACTTTTTCATCATTAATCATGAGCCTAATTGCATTGCCACCTAAACGTCCCCCTGTTGACATACGTTTTGTTTTATTAGTGTTTCATTTAGGCTTATTAACGTTTAACCGATGCATAATTCTTTTAGTATCACTATTTAACATTTCCAAAGCAGTGTCCAAATGTTTTATGTTATATATATATAATTTATCGTCCGCAAATATTTGAGTTTTGCAGTGTTCTAAGATGTTAGAGATATCATTTATATTTATACTGAATAGTAACTGCTCTAATTTACTCCCCTGTGACACCCCTGATACTGATATTTTGAACGCGTGACATAATATTCAAAATTTTATTTTTTTGACTTCTATTAATTAATAATTTTGTAAATTCAAAATTAAATCATTAACAATTTTCCTTATATATAGTCTCAAATGGCCTTTTGAAGTCTAAAAACATTGTTACAGTAAATCTTTTTTCATATACACTTCTTCACCAGTCTGCCGCCACCATTTGGATTGCTGTTTCTGTAGAATATTTTTTTCTAAATTCAGCTTGATATTTTGTCAAAATTTTGTTTTCTTCAACGAATTCAATGATTCGGCATCTGGCAAGATATTTTCCGGCCGCAAATTTGTATCTGGCTCAGAATCTTGAACTTTTGTAACAAAAAAGCAAAAAAAATCAATAATATTCAAAAATAGCCGCATCGTAGTGCTTTTCTCTCAGCGCAGGCAGCATGACTCGGAATATACAGGGTGGCCCATAAGTCCTTTGAGCTGGAAAAAAAGGAATAAAACCAAACTAGTTACATTATGAAGAATTATTATATTTTGTTATCATCTTTATTGAATGGGAATTATGTTTTAAAAATCACATCGTCTAAATGCAATCCATTACGATCACGGCACTCATATAAACGACGTCTAAAATTGTCGATGACTGCGCGGCAAGTCAACACTGTAATGCTTGCCATTTCTCTTCGGATATTTTCTTTCAGGACATCAACTGATCGCGGAGTGGTGTCGTACACTTTACTCTTGAGGTAGCTCCATAAAAAGAAGTCCATTGGGGTCAAATCTGGACTACGTGGTGGCCAGGAAATGTCTCCTCTTCGAGAAATTACTTTACTGGGAAAAAGTTGACAGACGACGGGCATAGAAGTGTTGGAGGTGTGGGCAGTTGCTCCGTCCTGTTGAAACCAGGTCTGCGTATTATAGCCTGGAAAATTCTGCAACGCTGGTGTCAAAAACTCTTCTATCATTGCTACATACCGCTCCGAAGTAACAGTTAATGCGCGACCTCTGTCGTCCTCAAAAAATAAGGGCCTACGATGCCATGCGCTGACATAGCAGCCCAAACTGTAACTTTAGGGCTGTGTAAGGGCTTCTGATGCTTACGCCTTGGATTTTCGGGGCTCCAATAACGGCAATTTTGTTTATTTACATGCCCGTTTAAATGGAAGTGAGCCTCGTCCGAGAACAACACATTATTGAGCGAAGAAAATCGATTCAACATTTCATTCGCAAAGTTTAGTCGCTGAATAGCGTCATTATCTTTTAATTCCTGCACTAACTGAATTTTGTAAGCGTGCAGACGTAAATCTTTCCTTAAAATCCGCTGTATAGATGTTCTGGGTACGTTTAGTGCACTGGAACGCTTACGAGTAGACTGGGTAGGATTTTGACGAACAGACTGTGCCACAATGTTGATGTTTTCTTCAATACGAGTTGTCCTTGGTCGACCCCACCGCTGTTTATCTAACGTCGAACCAGTCTCTTCGAACTTAGCAACCCAGTTCTTAATCGTTTGAGCTGTTGGGCACTTTGTAAAATTGTGTAAATTGTGGTATTCTCGATATTTACGCCGCGCAATGGTTGCCGAATCATTATTTTGATAAAACGCGCGCACACAAAAAGCACGATCCGCTCCAGTGAAACACTCCATGGCGACTGAATTCCCAGACACTGAAGATACTGCCCCCACCTCGCCCGCGCCGCTCACGCTCACCCGTTAAATTTTATTCAAATTTGAAATTTCAAAGGTCTTATGGACCACCCTGTATTATTCTTTTCATTCATATATTTCACAATATTAACAAAGCATTTTGAAGAGAAATGTTTCCAGAAGTTAATTCGGTCATTATTTATTAACAAATTATTACTGTCATTTCGTCGAAAACTGAATGTTCAAATATTCGCGAACCATAGAAAAACCAATACTTTTAAAATGTTGTACGTATATTCTTAGCTATAAATATGAACCAAGTTATCTTCTTTTTTTCTATATCCAAATTTGCAGCAGCTACACTGCGTGCTGCAGAGCGTCTCAAACTCTATGTGCCTCGCGGAAATGGCTGCTGTGTCGACATTTTTTTTGAATATCTATCTTCTATGTTTTTCTAATTAACTAATTGCTCGATAACTTTCAGCAGTACTATCATTTAATTACCTTCTTTTCCGGAAAAAAGGAGACAAGGAAAGCAACTCTTTTAGGCGGTGTTAGCACTTGAAAATAAGAAGTGGCAACGTTGCCCTCAAACTTCACAACATGAAATTTTGCTCCAAGACTGTTTCGTAAATTTTGGGTTATTATATGAATTATGAATCTACATTTTCCAACGCTGCAGATAAGACAAGAATGTTCTATTTCTAACATAGTGAATAATGATGCACGTAACTTGATGCCAACGGTATTTTTAGCTGCTTAAATGTATTTTTCTGGTGGAAAAAATGAGAAGAACATCTAAACAGTATAAATTCTGATATAAATCCACTGGAGCAGGGGTTAATTCCCAAAGTTGTAATGAGCTATTCGAGCTGATTGGCTGTGGAACCATTTCTGGTTGATCGTTTACAACCGAACGGATATTAGCTATAGATGAAGTTGCACCGATTAATTGATGCTTCTATGTTCATGAATGTTCAGCGTTCAATTTCAGTGGGTATGGGAGTAGAGCTGGGTAGTTTGTAATGGTTAATCGGTTGGCAATGGATGACGAAAAATGGAGTAGAGATGGACGTGGAAGATGATTGTAAAGATTTTATTAGTTAGGTATTTACTGTATCCGCAACAAAATATATTCAAGGTCAAAGCACCTTTACTTTCCGTGCGATAAGCGAGGAAAGACCTATGATCGGCGAAGTTTTTCGTATGTTCTTTGAACGTCTTCTATGTCATGAACATTACTACATAGGCTCTAAATGATCATTATATACAATTTGCTGCTGTTCGTCATCGGATTGCTGCTTGTATTTTCAAGTTACGAACCTTAGTCTTTGTATTTAAGTGCTTTATATTGTAGGATTTTCAAGATTTTGTAGTAACATCTTCGGAACAAGGATCTTTAATGTATTCAGATGCTGCTAAACTCATTTTTATATTTAGACGTGTTTCAAATTTCTGCTTAACTCAAGGCGTAATAAAAAGTACAAAAATTTTAAAAGTTTGCGTGCTCTGTGACTTCAACATGCCTTGAAACTTACACAGTTCGTTGCAGTCAGAATAATAATAAAACGTTTCCCTTATACCAGTATAAGGAAGTGGTTACGGTCAGTTGCACTTGGCTGCTAAAAGCGCTGGATGAAGTGTTTCTTAGCTCAGTTGTTAAATATCGCTCGCTACTGACTGAATCTGCTGACGACTAGCCAAGCTCAACATAACATCTTTCACTCGCCGAGTCAAAAAGTACTGAGCTACATTTATGTGACATTGATTTCGGATTCGGACTATTTAGAATGAGCAAGTATATGATTTGTTTATATGCAAGTTCATGCTTCAAATGGATCGAGCTTAATCCGCCAGTTTGATAGTTGTTTACGATTCGCATTGAATTCCATACAATTTTTGGGTTCCAGATAGTTGCCGAAAATGGTGGAGGTTTCTGTGGATTGCAAAAAGTGAATAAGGGCAATTTTTTTCCCGACAAATGTAAATGTTATATCTATTCTTTCACTTAATGCTCTTAATACGCTCACCAAACTTAAAAATACTTCTCTTAACACAGGTGTTTACCCAGAACTTCTAAAAATATCAGTTATTCCTATTTATAAACAAGATCCAAGCGACTTAGTAAATTATAGACCTATAAGTTTAATTACTGTTATAGCAGAAAATATGTAAAAAACAGTTGAAATTAGATTAAGAGACTTTCTAAAAACCAACAAAATTATAAGTGACAAACAATTTGGATTTCAAAAACGAAAAAAATATCATGGATGCTATTTTCACACAACTCCAACAGTTATACTTAAGTTTAAATGGTAAGCAAATATCAAT